CCTCTCCCTCTCCCTCTCTCTCTCTCTCTCTCTCTCTCTCTCTCTCTCTCTCTCTCTCTCTCTCCAGGGAATAGCCCAGGGTTAGCCTCAAATGTATATGCCTTTCCTCCTAAGGCTCCTAAGGGCTGAGATAACAGGCTTCACCTGTCACCCCCAAAACAGGCATCAAGTCTGCTCCTTAAACCCTTTTCTAAAAGGCCAAAGCCACATAATTAATCAACTTAGATGTTTATTTGTTGTTGGTTTGATATTGTATATATCATTTGTAGAAGCAACAAAGTTAGAATGTCGTTAAATAGACTGGCAGGATAGCTCCGCTGATAAGGGTAATTGCCACCAAGCCTGTTGATCTGAGTTCGCTTCCCAGGACCCACCTGGTTGAAGGAGAAAACCAACTCCTTGAGTTGTCTTTTGACTTTACACATGTGCAGTGTCATGCAGGGTCCCATATGTGCTATACACACACACACACACACACACACACACACACACACACACACACACACACTTGCACAAAATAAATGTAATTTTTTATTTTAAATAAATGTATAATAAAATGCTGTTAAATAGTCATCAATAGTTGTGATTTAGTAAAACAAGCACTCCAGGATCTGGATCAGACATAAAGGTTTTCAAATCCTAGTGCCGCCTCTTGCTAGCAAGTTCTTCATTTCTTTGTCTACTCTACTAAGCAGTAAGGTTAATTATAAGTACCTCCTGATGTTGCTATAGAATGTTAACAAGAGTGGTGTTTAAAAACAAGAATGTGAGATGTAACTTGGGTGGCAGAGCTCTAGCCTAGTATCCAGTGAGCCCTGGACTCCATTCCCAGCATAAGCTGGGAGTAGTGACACACACCTATAATCCCAGCTCTTGGGAGGAGGAGGCAAGAGGATCAGGAATCCAAGGCCAGTTGTCTTCAGCTACATAGGGCATCTGAGGCCATTGTGGGCTGACACCCCTGCCAAACAGACAGTGATAAACCAAGGCAGCACCAAGGCATTGCATGTGGGGCCCCACATCTTCTTCGGCATACCTTCCCATTCTCTTCTATAGGAATCCCTTCAAGTTTGCAGCATGCAGCACCCCAGCCAAGCCTTATCCCCCTCTGGAGAGCTCTAATTATCTGTTGTCCTGCCCCACCCCCAAAGTTTTGAGACCTTTCCTGTACTCCTGTATTCTTCTCTCACTTTCCACACGGCTCTGGGTATCTTTGCCGGTCATCCTGGGCTTCTTATTGGAAGTCCTATCCAGAAGGAAAAGGCTCCTTGGAAGCCATCCTCAGACACGTGTCCAAGAAAGAACAGATGTGGTTTTTCTCTTGTGTGAGGAACAATAATAAGGAATCTCTCCAGACCCTAAAATAATGACTTCATTGTTGGCCTGCTTGCTTCGCTTCCTAGAGGGCTGCTGGTCGTTAATGTGTGTTTTCATTGAGATCCTGCTACGTCTTTGGATGTCTAAAGTTAGTGTGCTCAGCCAACCCACAGTGTGTGGACTGGAGCCAGGCTGTTTAAAGAAGATGAAACTTACCCCCAGGCTTTGGAGCAGAAGGCCATGGTGAGGAAGTCGTGCCTAGGGATGTAGTAGAGGCCGAGAGCTCTGAACTGATACTCTAGAAATCTGTAAAACTCAAGTATGAAGAGCATGGGAAAGAAGAATGCACAGCTAAGCAATCCAGGTCATGGTCTGGGCTCCAGTCAAACTGTGAAATCTCTTCCTAGGGGTCAGCTTCCCTCTGACTGGCACCAGGACTCGGCCTTTTCCTTCTCCCAGCATAAAATTCCTTGGGAGACCCCAGTTTCTTGGGGAGCGTTAAATCAATAGTGTCAGCCAGAGGGAGGGGCACAGGATCTCTCTTAGAACAGCTCCACTCCTGTTAAGTTTGCTTTCCTGAGACCCGTGTAGGCCTTGGGTGAAAGCAAGCCTCTGATTGGCAATTGTTCACCTCTCTCCTAAAACATGTGTTTAGCTTTGATGTGGTCACAAGGACTTGTGTCCATAGTGTTCTCATTGCAGCTGAGACTAGAGGAAAGCACCCCTCTGTCTGTCCTTGTGTGATGTGATGCTGTGGTTTCAGAAGCTTCTCTAGAGAGTTCAGCACAGGAATGTCACCTTAGCACTTGTAGCAGAAGAAAGCCATGAAGTCAGCTATTTAAGTAAATCACAGCTCACTCAGTTCCATCCCAAAGGCAAAATTCTGTGTCCTGATGGGTGTCCTGAGGACAGCTGTGAGAACCATGTTTGACATCTTAGCGGATACCATATTTGAGGAGCTCTTCTTGTTTCTAGGCAGGTCCCATGGATCACACTGCCTCCTCATGGAGTTCTTTGATTAAAAAAACAACCAGCCAAACAAACACAAACCAAGGAGTTTCCTCTTCTCTGACCCACTGGCTTCCTTTCTTTATATCCACCAAAGTAAATATGCAGTATCTCAGGCCTTTGGGGATGCTCACACCCCTGAGTTGGGTCAGAACACCCACAACTGTTGCATGGGCAGTTCCAGTACTTGATGTTTAAGTCACTGGCATTAGGTCACATTGCACACAGGATTAGAGCAGAGTTCCCTGCTAGCCTGCCCTTTTTATGAATGAGGTGTCTGTACCTGTGTGACTTATCAGACTTCTAGATCATGGACTTCTTACAGTTCTCCCCATCTCACTGAAAAGGACGCCAGGTCTTCCCATGTAGCTAGTTAGTAGTAGAGCCATAACTAGAACCTAGGTTTCCAGTACCCATAGCTTAGCTCTTTCATCTTCCTGTCACGTGGGGTGTCTGCTAGGGATCCCTGCACTGGCATTGCTTCATATCCATTCACTAATTCATTTTAAGCCCCTATTTCCATTCTTGACATTGGTAAGTCTCCAGGATGCTGTTTGAGGAACATGTGGAGGACTTGGAGGCCCTTGGAGGACTTTTCTCATCTAGTCTGCAATTATTGCAACAATACAACTTATCACATAGTTCTAAAGCCTAGTAGGCTCTCCGAAGATTTATTTCTCTTATATGTACCCACATTTCCATAATCCAGTTTATTTATAGAAAGAGAATGATAGTGTGCTAGGCAGTGTTGAAGAGAAGTATGTTTGTTATGGAAACAGTTTTTCTTTGTATTATGGATTTTTAATTAAAAATGTGAATTTGTGTATTTAGAAACCTATGGCATTCTCTACCATTCTGAATATAGCAGCATATAAAGCTAGTCTTGACAGTTGGGTGTTGCATTTTTCTTTTCTGTTTTTATTGTAAAAATGAATTGCTTTTGATTCTGCAAGTAAATGTATGAAATCAAGGAAAGAAAACATTTCAAATGCATCACCTCGTTGTGTTTCTGGGGTGTGGTTTCTCCTAGGGCTTACTTGTTTGTTTTCAAAAGTCTCACCATGCTGCTCAAGTTAGCCTTAAACATGAAGGCCTCCTGTCTTGGCCTTCTGAGTGCTGGGATCATAGACAAGCATTGCCATGCCCAGCTCTGTCTTCTGACTTTTTAGGGTTATTCTTAGCAAATCAAGTGGTTCTTAAGAGTGAGCAGCATTTTGTGCTACTTAAGACATTCTTAATTTCTTTCTCAGGCGCAGCACACCCACGATGCCATCACAGAGGCTGCACAGCTGATGAAGGAAGCTGTGGATGACATTATGGTGACACTGAATGAAGCTGCCAGTGAAGTGGGGCTGGTGGGAGGCATGGTGGATGCCATTGCAGAAGCCATGAGCAAGGTAAGGCTTAAGCTAGCTCCTCGAACTCCTGCAACCATGTCTTCCTCTCTCTCACATACCATCCCTAACATGCTCTTTTCTGGGAAACTGATTGTCAAAGCTGAGACCAGCAAGCCTTCTTTTCCCCAAGGTGTAGCTAATGAGCATATGGCCAGTCATATATCCAACATATTATTTTTTCTTCATTATTAAATCACCTTCTTTGTAAGCCAATGTGCAATTCTAGTTTATGTGTGGTAAAATAGACATTGTGAAAGTATCATTGGTTTCCTTGCTTGTAAAATGGAAATAATTACTTACACCTTGTGTCCTCATCATATTATTGTGGACACAATATTGTGTCCTCATCAACAAACTCCAAGAGGAGTTAGAAAGCGATTTCTGAATGCTGACCCTTGGAATGGCTACATTGGAATTGGGGAACTTTCTAGAATGCAGGATCCTGGACTCTGAATTGCTGTATTACACTCACAATTAAGTGGAGTCTAGGAATCTCTAATGGAACCTTCAGATATCTTATGCTTTTGGTATCTTGTTAAATGCATAAACCATTAAACAGTATGTATGAAAGGCCTTGGTAAACTCTCTGAGGTAACAGTCCTAGGGGATAACATGAGTCATTTTCTTACTAAGCAACCAATCAGCTGCCAATACTTCAGACTGAAGAGTTTCCACTCCATGGTTTCTACTTTACCTGCAAGGATTCTAGTCATGTCCTTTTGAGATTGTTAGGATAAATAGTTGTTCATTAACATTTAATTGGCAGCCTGTGATAACTAACAATAATTCCTAATGTATAGTATTTCAGGATAATATGTGGTCTTAAATTGCTGATTTAGAGATTAGTTGCCCCTGTCTCCATAAAGGAATGATTCCATGCAATGATCATTAGAGAAATGGCTCCTCAACCTTCTGCCATCATCTTCACACTAGTGAAGTAGCAAGTCTAGGTTAGAGCATGTCTCCCTTAGAAGACCTGAGGCTCTGCGCTGGGCATTGGTGGCGCACACCTTTAATCCCAGCACTCGGGAGGCAGAGGCAGGCGGATCTCTGTGAGTTCGAGACCAGCCTGGTCTACAAGAGCTAGTTCCAGGACAGCCTCCAAAGCCACAGAAAAACCCTGTCTTGAAAAATCAAAAAAAAAAAAGAAGACCTGAGGCTCTACTTTCTTAAAGTCTATCTGTATCCACTGTGTGCTGCTTATGCTTCAAATAAGGATGGCTTGGCAGATAGTAGGTAAATTCCCCCACCCTCCTCAAGGCTATTGGGTGTGGGGCGGTGGGGGGAGTGTTGTTTGACTTTCAGAACAACAGGACACCAGCACTTTGGAAACAAACCACATGTCCATCAGGGATATTAAATAATGGAGTCCACAGTTTCTTAGTAGCAGATAAAAGTCAAATGATCCCCTTTTTCTCGGTATTTATAGGGAAATTTCCTATAAATCCTCAGAAAGTGAAGGTGGGGCTCTGAAGTCTTTCTTTGATAGCCCATAAGCCTCACTTACTATGATGCGTTACCCTGCAATAGTAGCTTTCACACACCTGGTATCACTGGCCTGGCTACCTTCTTCAGAAATAAGACTGCTGTTATAGGGACAGGAACTGTTGGCAACAGAGGCCACACACAAAGGGTTTCCCTCTCCTTTCTGTAAAATATAAAATGGGATTTCATTGCTCTCCACAAAGTCCTACTGTGTTAGTTACACTGATCATTGAAAAGTACTTGACAAGAAGCAATGTAGGGGGCCAGGTGTGGTGGCTCACACCTTTAATCCCAGCACTTGGGAAGCAGAGGCAAGCAGATCTCTTAGTTTGAGGCTACCCTGGTCTATAGAGTGAGTTCCAGGACAGTCAGAGCTAACTCTGTCTCAAAAAAAAAAAAAAAAAAAAAAAAAAGGGGGGGGGGGAAAAAAAAATATAAAAGGGGGAAGAGTTTACCTTAGCTTACGGTTTGGGGAGATCCAGTCCAGCCTGGTGGAAAAGCATGAGGAAAAGGAGTTGTGAATGCTGACACTCAGCTCACTCTCCTTTTTATTTCTTCTAGAACCCAGCCGATAGAATGGTTCACATTCAGGCTATGCTGTCCCATCTCAGTTAACTCAGTCTAGAAACTCTCACATAGACACTCTCAGGGTCTTTCTCCTAGATGGCTGATTCTTGTCATGTTGACTACCAATATTAACCATCACAGGGCTGGAGAGATGGCTTAGAGGTTAAGAGCACTGACTGCTCTTCCAGAGGTCCTGAGTTCAACTCCCAGCAACCACATGGTGGCTCACAACCATCTGTTATGAGACCTGGTGCCCTCTTCTGGTGTGCAGATATACTTGGAAGCAGAATGTTGTATATATAATAAATAAATTCTTTTAAAAAAATATTAACCATCACATTTACCTATCTTGACCTAACATCCAGGGGACCACACCTCCTCCTCATTCTCAATTTCCTTTTCCTGTCACTGGGGTAAAGTGATGTTTTGGGTCCTTTGGGCCTCAAGCCACACATCAGTGAGCAGCTAGCATCATGTACCTGAGCTTCACTAATTTGCTTGAAACACTGAAGCAGTGAGGTCATCTAAGTTAATTCTAACTTGTATGCCATTTTGACATTTAGGAGATTCTGCCATGGAGGTGTCCTCGATTCTGTGTTTAAATACCAAAGATTTAAGAACTGATGGGTCAATATGAAGTCCTGGGCTGTCTGTAGGCAATTCTGATTGAAGAAGTTGGGGTTGAGTTTGGACCAAAAAAGCCTCTGAGGGGCTGTATATTTCCTAAGTTTCTAATTCTTAGGAGTACAGCCTGTACTTGATCAGGCTTCTTATAACCCTGGGCTCTTCTCTCCTCCACAGCTGGATGAAGGCACACCTCCAGAACCAAAGGGAACATTCGTTGACTACCAGACAACTGTGGTTAAATACTCCAAAGCTATTGCCGTCACGGCTCAGGAAATGGTAAGAAGAAAAGGAGCTGCCCTTCCCACTGTGGGTTGCCCTTCTGCCCACTGCCGTCTGAGTCTTCAAATCTGGGATCTATGTTGGAGAGAGTGGCCCCACCTGTGATGCCAATTCCTCCTGGATTCCAGCTCCTACCTCCTCTGTGGTCCTTCTGGCTGCCTGTGGCCTAGAAGCCCCAGCAAGAAGGAATTAAAGCTGACTGAGACTTGGGCATGAGGACAGGGAACAGAGGCAAGATAGAACATTCAAGAAGGCAGGAAATGAGAAAGAAGGTGGCATTAAGGAGGAAAGAATCTATTCATTTCTGAAACGACTAGGGGTGTTTTAATAGGTTTAAATTCTAGTATAAGAGAAGAGATTTAGAAGTAAGATAGTAAAAAGATGAAGCTGTGACAAAATCAAATCATAACACCTGGGCAATTAGTCTTTTAGGCAAAATTAATGTGGTTTATTTTTTCTTAATTCCTGACAACAGAAGCTGTGTCACTTTTGGTAGTAATATTTTCTTTTTCACTGAAACATAATGCAAAAACACTGTTCCAGAGGAATCTTCATAAATGGCACTGGGAAGCCATGTGTGCTCTCTTGACAACATGAGTTACACAAAGGATGGCAAATGAGATCTTCAGAGAGTTAATACCTAGAAAATATTCCTCTCCACTTGGAGTCCCAAACGCTGTAGATTAGAGAGAATTACCACATAAGCCCAAGCTGGGAACTGAAGTGGCCCAGCTGGAGTGGCCAAAGCACCTCTCTCACTCGTTCTGTCATGTAATTGTGTGTCCACTAGAGGTTGAGCTTGGATCACGAAGACCTCCCTGCCTGCTCTTCTCATGCATGGGAACTCTGTACCAGGCCCACTGTTTAAGTGAATGTGGCCCACGGAAGGAGGGAGAAGTCACAGTCACCTCTGAGTGTCCTGCCAAGCTGGAGCTACCCCAGGACCATCCTTTCAGGGGAGGACAGGGGACACAGATCAAAGGCCCCTTACTGTCTAGTATGGCAGTGTGAGGAGGCAGTTTTAGGTGGCTTCCTAAAGTTTCTGGAAAGTGTCTGGTCAGGCTTTGAGCCAGACTGTCTCACCCCTTGATTCCTGTGATTCCTAGCAAGTCCAGTCTCCGGTATATGGCTATCCTGAGGTAGTTAGCCTTCACTTCTGGTTGGAGCTATGCACTCTTTACCTGGCCAAGAATCTCTGTGTCCCTGTTGACAGGGCACAAGCAGTACTGCTCAAGGTACAGCTTCATTCTCTTGGGATCCAGGTTGTGTTCTTTGGAACCCACTCTTAGACTAGTGCTGTGATATTGTGTCTTATAACTTGTCTTAGATGGAGTCATTTAATGAGTCTTTTTTTAAAGCCCTTTAAGCTGGGCATGATGGCACATATGCTTGTAATTCCAGCCCTCAGTAGGTAGAAGCAGGGGAACTAGGAGTTCAAGGCCAACTTGAGCTACACAAGACTTTGTCTCAAAAATAAATGGGATGGCCCTTTAAAGGTGTTAAAAGGTCATAAAATCAAGGTGGTAAAGGGCCCTTGTTAAAATCAAGTGTCATCAGCCAGTTGGCTCAGCAGTAACCAAGCCTGACAACCTTCGTTCAGTCCCTTGAACCCACACATAGGAAAGAATCAACTCCTGTAAGTTGTCCTCTGACCTCCATACATGCATTGTGGTACGTACATGTACACACACACACACACACACACACACACTCTCTCTCTCTCTCTCTCTCTCTCTCAACTACAAATAAAAATAATTGTTTTTTTAAAGAGTGAGAAAAGAGATAAGGCAAGAGTGAAATCCCTAGAAAAGAGACAAAAAAAAAAAATGTCTTTTAGGTGACCTGCAAAAAGCAAAAGCGGAGATGATAACATTAAACTTCGGCATGCTATTCCGAGGTGCGGGGAGACTGGGCATGTGGGCCACCATATTTCTGGCAGCACTGTGTCATGCTTTATACCAGTTCGGCCCAAGACCTGATTCTCTTCATTCCCTGATGTTGGCTTCTCCACTGAGTCTCATTTGTGGCTTCATAGCAGCCTGTCCTCAGATTCTCTCTTGCCTAAATCCCCATAGAAGCCTGGATCAGGGTACACTTTTCACAAGGCTTATTTCCCCAGAGTTCCTTGTGGGAATTCCTCTGGTGACCCCAAAAGGGCGAGCTCCCTGAGATTGGCCCCTGAAGGCCCTGCTCCACGCTGCACGGCCTGAATGCTGAGCATGTGCCCATCTGGCCTGTGCTGCAGGGTAGTCACAGCTCTGGCCTGTCATGTGCAATGCAGCATGGGCTTTGCTTGAATTACCCTCCCCAATGTCCGGCCCTCATGCAAGGCCTGGCCTTCACCTTCCCCAGGGGCTAAAAGTGAATGAAACCCTTTGGCTTCCCAGGGTATTAACACATGGTTCTGATGCTTCTCTTTGTGTATGTATTTGTGTCTTGCTTGTTTTCTTTTTCCAGATGACTAAGTCGGTTACTAACCCGGAGGAATTGGGAGGCCTGGCTTCACAAATGACCAGTGACTATGGGCACCTGGCTCTCCAGGGCCAGATGGCAGCAGCCACCGCCGAACCAGAGGAGGTCTGCCACCTTAAGGCCCCTATCTTAAGAAGCAAATGCATGGTGTTTGTTCCTGGGCATGGGAGAGGGGACGACCCTGTAGCATAGTTCTATAAGACCTCATCACGACAGCCAGGAGCAGGTTTCATTCCCACTGCTGTGCAACTGACTCATTCAAGGAGCCCCTAATTGTGCCCAAAACTTGGGCCCTTGCTGAGGCCAGCTGACCAAGAGCTAGGGCACCCTGGAGAGTGGGCTCTTAGATTGAAGGGTTCTGTTTACAGTGTGCTGCTGGGTTCCTTGCAACTGCCCATCACCCCACCAAAAGCTGAGGGTGTCCTTCTTGCTTCCTGCCCTCCCACCCCGAGCACATGCCACCAATCATGCTCATGTTTTCCAAAGTTTCCCCAAAACTTTAGATCCACTTGTGGGAGTTCATATCCTCTCTCTTGAGAAAAGCCTGCTTGCATGATATAAAACCCAATCCTATAGGTTCTTGACTTTGTGGAAACTGGCCTAGATCCCACCTACCATGACACCTCTGTTGTGCTCTTCAAGACCCATCCCCTTTCCTTATCCCTAGTGTAGACATGGCCTCAGCAAGTCTGTACTTGTAAAAGCCTTTGAACAGCAAGTTTGGCCACTGTCAGAGAGCAGTCATTTCTGGAAGCTATGAGAAATGGAGTGGTACCCTGGGATGATGCAGCACAGCTGGGGACCCAGGGGGCCTGGTGGCAGCTGTGTTAGTGTGAGCTTGGGTATCTAGAGCCCAAGAAACCATGTGGCTCATTTTAGAAAGTTCATTCTGGGATACAAAATGATGGAGAGACTACAGGAACACTGGAAGATACAGGTAATGCATTCTGTAAAAAGCAAGTCTTTTATTGAGTGTAAATCCTGTTCAGTATTTTCATGAAAGCTTGGGGCTCTGGAAGCTACAGGTTTGTAACTAGTCTGCTCATTCCCTGAAATGACAGACGCTGCCCCCACCTACCCATTGCTGCTGGTTCTGCTGGGAGTAGTCAGGACCAAGTGTGTCTAACAGAGGCTTTTAGAAATGACGGTAGCAACATAGATCCAAAACACATCACTTTCTAACATGTGTCATAACAATGCATGTGAGCAGACATATCATATATATGTACTAAGGTACATATATATCCAGCATGGAGTTCCTTCAGTTTCTAACCATGCCAGGAGCAGGTTTCTTAAGATTGCAGAGCAAAATCAGTTGCGCCTCTGCATGAATAATTGCATTTGTAATAATTATGTTAAGTCACCAAGAAAAATACCGAATTTTGATTCCTTTTACACACCTCCCCCTCCTCCTCTTCCTCTTCACCCTCCTCTTCCTCCTCCTCACTGTCCTCCTCCTTCTCTTTTTGAATAGTCTCCCTGTTTTAGTAAGACTAGACTATAATTCTAGTCTGTAATTTATCTAGACATATAATTCATTTGATCAACATGTAATTTTGAATTTCATAAACAAGTAGAAGAGAACGTGTGTTGCAGTCAGGAAACGTTAGTACAAAGGAAAGAAGTGTTTGGCTTTGAGAGGGGATTAAAAACAGAAACCATGATTGCCAGGGAGGTTTGGCCCCCTTGCCATGGAAAGCTTTGCACATGGGACCCACCCGCATCTGTCTGGATTTGGAACACTGGCCTGCCCGTTCCGTAGTGGAGTTCTCATGAGCTGCCCACCCCAGTGCAGTGTGGAGCCTTGCTGCAACACAGAATTGACAGTAGCACCTGGGCAGCAAGGAAAAGGATGTACCACTGACCATGCGACATCACCTTGCTGGGTGCTGGGTGTTAACATTGTCAGTAAGGTTTGCTGTTTTCAATGGGGCATCTTGAGATGTATTTTACAGTCCAGGCCCAAGAGCAGTATGACCCATGGCCAAAAATGGCAGCGAGAATATAAGATTACCAGTGGCTTGTGCAGGAAAGTTCTCTGGTATGCATTTGCCAGACAGATGCTTGGGGGAAAACTGAGAAGGTTAGGAGGTCCCTGAAGCAATGTAGGTTTTTTTTTTTTTTTTCCTAAAGCATACCAAAACTGTGCAAGTTATTTGTATACCCAAGAGGGCCCCATATTCCAGCATGTGAAAATATTTACATCTAGGGCAAGCGGGAAGCCCTTCCTGCAGAGTCTGCGGTATGCCCTGCCGAGTCCAAATTCTGGTCTTTTCCACAGTGTGACAATTACAGGAAAAGCAGAACCTCTGTCCTCGAACATCAAACAGGATCTTTCTCTGTTTATTTTTCCATGGAAAACCCAAGGCTTTGTTAATAGCACTGTGGAAAGTCTTCAGAAAAGTGAAAACCTCTCTGGCAGCTTTGCTGTTTAAGAATAGTTCCTCTCTGAATACAGAAAACAGAGAGGGCAGGGAGATGGCTCAGTCCTCTACAAACATGAGGACCTGAGTTCAGATCCTCAGCACCCCTGTAAAAAGTTGTATATGCTTATAATCTTAGTGCTGGGGAGGTAGAGACATAGGCTGGGGCTCACTGGTCAGCAAGTCTAGCCAAATCATTGAGTCCCAGGTGCACAGAGTAAGGTGGAGAGAATTGAGGAAGATACCTGAGGGAATGTACCAGCATGCACACATACAGAGATGGGAGGAGCTGAAAATGGGGAGAAGAGAAGGACAGAGAGAGTGAGGGAGGGATTGAGATCCTAGGAGCTACAGCTCCTAAATGTAAGTCCCGGGGAAAAGATTTAGTGACTGTAGCTCTTTCCCTGGGGAAGATCACATCACCACTTTGTTAGCCAGGGAAAGGATTTGTAAAGTGACTGGCCAGGAAACATAGCCTGTGCCCCAGGTGGGGTGAATGTACACTTGAGAATTTAAAAAGAAAAAAAAAATTCCACCCAAAACTTGCTATCTGGTGGAGACAAAGTGATGCCTGGTTCTGTCGTTCACACTATTTTTCCTGTTGCATTTTCTAAGTTGAGCTGACAAGTTCCAATGCCACCCTTGTCTAACTCTCATAAGGTCTCCCAGGCAAGCAATTCTGAACCCAGTTGCTTTTAAAGTGTGGGAAAAGTCATCTCGTTTTGTTTTGTCTTGAGCAGTAAAGGGAAAATGATCCGTTTTTCTCAGACAACTCTCCCCATCCCCATTGTAATTGGATCTAAAACTACCAAGGCCAGGGCCTCTTTTTTTTTTTTTTTTTTTTTTTTTTTCCTTTAAGGCACAAAAGCAGATGGTTTTCTCCACAGTGTTTTTCTTTGAGCAAGAAGGGATCTGAGGCTTTTTCTTGAGGCTCAAGCAATGCTTTCCTAAAGTTGCTCGTTGTGTGACACACAACCCCAGTTGTGTGTCGTTGAGCAGCATTCCTTTACAATAAACACGGGTCGGACATTCAATCCACCCTGTGGGTCTTGCAAAGTTGGGCCAGACTTGCTGAGAAATTTAATGTTGTTTGGGGAACTGGGCAATTATTGGTGCTTATCAGTTGAAACACAATCTTGAAAGTGTGTTCCCTGTCTAGGAAGCTCCCCCAGCCATAAAAATTTCCAGTGACATTGCCAGCAGACTGTGTTGAGGCTGTGGTCCTCTTATATTTAAGTATTCCACCAGCTCACAGTAACCTGGAGAGTAGTGAGAACGGTGAGTGCCAAGCCCAGGTGCTGTGGCCGGTACTGTCCATTTATCGTTAACAAAGTGTGGAAAACAAGGATCATTTGTCCTCCATTTCAGAGATAATCAAACTGAAGCCCAGAGAGTTTAACAAAATTCTGTTGTTATTGAAACCACTCTTAAAACTTAAATTAGAGGGTTTTATTTTTATATTATTTTAAAATTCTCTGGGTGCTGCTTCCACTGTTTTCTTCTCCTCTGGTATCACCAACAGTCCCCTGTCATTTGGGGATCTGTGATCATCCTTCATCTAAGATGCCCCCACCTTACTGCTGACCCTTGGATACATGGCATTAAACTCTGTGGAAGCTTGTAAGAACCAAGTTGAGTCTGAAACTAATGTCACATCTCCTGGCTTCACCTTGATGTTGTGTGTAAGTCACCAGTATATCAGTCTGGTTATCTCAGCATTTGGGCAGCTGAAGCAAGGGGATCAAGAGTTCCTGGACAGCCTGGGCCACATGGCATGACTGTCTCAAACAATGACTATTAGAATGGCATCCCTGATGTAAGCAAACATCTTCCCCCCTCAGTGGTATGTCCTTGCTGCATCAGTGCAGACATGTACAGGGCTGGCATGCTATAGGCTCCCAGGCTCCCTTTCCTATTGTGCATTACACAGAGAGGGTCAGCAGCACAGCCTGGACGGTGGAGAGCCCCTGGGGGCCTGGTGCACACTAAGAAGACACCTGGAAAGCAGACACTCACCCTTCGGCATCTTGTGAACTTTCTGCTAAGTGGCTTTCAAAATCCTGTGGCCCTTTCCCTCCCGGAAGCAGTCAGTATTTCTATAGTAGGAAAGCAAACATTTACAGTCTTCCCACTCTCCAGAGTCACTTTTCCCTAATCTTTGACTAATGAGATAAAAGCAGGTGATAGCATCCCCTGGGCCGGAATCTCCCCAGAATTACTTACAGTAGCTGAGACTTTTGGTAAACATTCTTGATAGATGGTAGAAGAGGAAGCCCTGGCTTGTGGCTATTGTCAGTTCTTGACTGACTCATGTTTCAAGGCTTTACTCTTCTTTTTAGTTGCTTCTCTGGCCTGGAAGGTGGTTCACTTGTGGTCTTATTTACCAAACTCAAGAGTGAAAACTGACACAGAACATAACTAGAGGGACGCATGCTTTGGGCAGGTGGAAGGAGAGTTTGGGGCAGCTTAAAGGAGACAGCTGGCATCCCAGCTATAGTGAAGTTTATTTGGCTTCTCCTACACAGACTACCCCTCTTCTAATTGCTCTTTAATGCTCTAAAGTCCAGCATCTTTAATAAAACGCCTGCCCATGAGGCTGTAGCTCTGTTAGTAGAGTGCTAGTCTAACGTGTGAGGCCCTGGGTTCCTGCCCCACCCTCACAAAGACTGGATTTGGTATAGCACGTGTCTATAGTCCCAGCACTTGAGAGGTGGAAGCAGGAGGATCAGAAGTTCAAACTCATCCTCAGTTATGGTCAGTTGGAGGCCAACCTGGAATCTGTGAGATCCTGTCTTGACTTTTTTAAATAAAGTAAATAAATAAAATAGGAATGCGTGCCTGCTGAGCCCTTAGAGCTGAAAAGGGAAGGTCAAACCCTGCTCAGGAGACAGGATGCCTAGGCTCTATGTGATTGTCCTCACCATAAATACAGCCCAGGAGGTGGGGTGTTCTGTCTGGTACCAGTTTTATGAAAATCTGACCACTTTAAATTATGCTTAATGCTAAGGTGTACTTTGAACTCACTGAATGAAATTTATAGAAGAGTCCTTGGTGTACTGTGGGAACTCAGTAAATGCTTATTGAGTGAATAATAACGACAGCAACTATCCCACAGAGCCTGATCTGAGGAACATCTATTCCTCTGGTTTATTCTCTCGGGTAGCTTGGAATCCAGATGAGCTAGACCCTCAGAAAAGATAAACATACTGCAGGAAGGTGTTATGCTGTCCCAGTGAGCTACAGGCTTGCTTAATGGAGGCTGTGGGCATTTTTACAGTCATTTTACAGGAAGGTAAATCAACTAAATTCTGTACTTCACCAGTCAGGGGTTCCAAATAGAATGGAATTTTCCTAGCCAGGCTCCCAGAGGGCACAAGAGAAATTTTCCACCTAGGGCAGGCCTGGATGGCAGGGTCCCTCACACTTCTTCCCCTTTCTGGCTTTGCCTCTGTAGATCGGATTCCAGATTCGCACACGTGTGCAGGACCTGGGCCATGGCTGTATCTTCCTGGTGCAGAAGGCGGGGGCCCTGCAGGTGTGCCCCACAGACAGCTATACCAAGAGGGAGCTGATCGAGTGTGCCCGTTCCGTCACTGAGAAGGTAAGGGGTCCCTCCTGGGTAGGATGGATATAGACAGCCATTGTGCCGAGCACTGGCATTTAATGTTCTGATGGGGATGAACCACAATTAATCCAGCTAAGGCGGCTGTCTCCCTTACCACCCAGATCCTCCCCAATAAGGCTGCTGTCACAGGATCCATAGGACCTGAGAAATCAGAGCAAAGCAGAGGCAGCCCTAGGAAAGTCAAGTACTCCCTAAAGGTGGCCCTACCAAAATCAGCATCCGGAGTCAGCCAAGGGAAGGCTACTACCACAGCCCACCCTATAAACAGTTGGTCTCCCTTCTCAGAGAGTTTCCAAGTGCTAGAGCTGGGACAGAAAAACTGAAAGAGCTGGGTAGAGTGCTGTGGCTGAAATCCCTGCATAGGGTAGGCTGAGGCCAGAGAGCCAGCTCGGGCTATATAGTGAGACCCTGTCTCCAAAGGCAAAAACAAAAAACAACAACAAAAAAGACTGAAATCTGCTTGGTGTATAACCTCTTCGTTTATACACCAAGAAGCAGAGTGGCCCCAGTGACTTTAGACAGTCACCTGATGTACTGATGTGCTGTGGAGGAGAAGAAACCTGCCCTGGGCTTCTGAGCCTCAGGGCTCCTGCTCCGGGAGATGATCAGGGGTGCAGCCAGCAAGGCTTGAAGAGTATATCAGTTATATCACCTTTCCAGGCCTCATCCATTTCCTCATCCATAAATTGAGCACACAAATGTATAATCTCTGACTCACAGAATCAAGGTATGTAAGTGTCTGGTACTGTGCCAGGTGTGTAGTTAAACATTTACCAAAATAGTCCCATCCTCTGTATGCGTTCCTCAAAAACTCTTTTCTCCCATGGTGTTTCCCTGGCTAACAAGGCCCCCATTAGACCCTCCCTTCATGCCCAGTAGCTCTTTTATCCTCCCCCGGCATGCAAGCCCCTGGCTTTGTTTCTGGATCAGAGTCCTCCTGTAGCAGCTGTTGCAGCTGTGAGTAGCGCAGGCTGGAGCACCCATGCTCTGCACTTCCTCTTCTCTTCTGTGTGCACAGAGCTCTGTATTATTCAGAAACTTGGCGACAAGGCTGGAGGGCCAGGCAGAGGAAACGCTATATGGGAAACTGCTTACAGAGGCTGCTCTGTCACCCAGTCCTGGACCAGACTTAGTCTCCATCTGGCATCCTCCCCCAGCCCACAGGACTGGCCAGCCTCTGGGCTTGACAGTAAGAATTAAATCCCTCAGCTGGAGGAAGGCATCTTCCCTCTCTTCAAAGGCCTTGCCCAGTTCCCCAAGCACCCAAGCTGCATAAAGAATCATCCTGAGCTGGCTTTGGTCTTTCTGCTTATCACAGCAGAGTGGCCTGACTTGGGACATGTGGAGAGGGACAGAGGTGGGGAGGCGGCCAGTTCCCAGCAACTAGCCTTTTGGCAATTTCTTGCTGCAGGTCACTCTGCCTGTGTATCTTGTTATTCCTATGTATCTTGGGGTATAAGCAGAGTGTCTCCCATCCATGAACCCATTGTCTACCTTTGTGTCAGACACAGTGGCTAGTAGATGCTCAGTAAATACCTGTTGTTAGGTTTGTACAGCATCCACAGTGGGTGGGACTGTTTCTGGGCTCTTCTTTCACCCTGCCTGAGAATCTCTTACACACACTTAAGACATCACATAACTTCAGGCCTTTGTCACCCATCCTAAGAGTTCTTTCCAGAATCTGTTGACTTCATTCCCAGACCAGTCCTGTGTCAGTCTGACTCATCTTTTCCTGGTGAGTCTTAGTGGTACTTAAGGAAGGGTCAGACAAATGAGGAGGTGTCTTAGCTTCATTTGTTGTTGTGACAAAAAGCAACTTACTAGAGGAAAGGGTTTGTTTTAGCTCATAGGTTACCACCTATTTGTGGGGGAATCACAGCAACAAGAACTTAGGCCAGTCAGTCACATCACAGCCACAGTGAGGAGCAGAAGAAAGGAATGCCTGTATGCTTTGTGCTCAGCTAACTTCCTCTACTCTTACACAGTCCAGGGCCCCAAACCAGGGGATGGTACCACCCACAGTGGGCTCACCTCAGTTAACCCAGTTAAGGAAAAAGCCACTGCTGGAGAGTTGGATCAGTGGTCAAAAGCACCAGTTACTCTTCCAGAGGACCTGGGTTTGATTCCCAGCTCCGACATGATGGCTCACAACTCTCTGTAACTCCAGTCCCAGGGGTTACAACTTCCTCTTCTGGCCTCTTTGGGAACAAAATTAAATTAAGAAGGAAGAACTCCTTCACAGTAGGCCCCACTAGCTCAGCTGATCTTAAAGACAGTCCCACACTGAGATTCTCTTCCTAGGTGAGTCTAGGTTGTGGTGATTAAAGCCAAGCATCCCAGGAGAAGAGACAGTTTTTTGTGGGCTTCTCTTGGAGAAAATGGTCCCTGTGTCCGTTTTGCCAAACTACACCCACAAATCTCCTGAGACCTAAGGGGTACAAGAAAGAACATCCCAAACTCCGTGCCGCTTATTCATGCCTTGACTCCACTGCTTCTTCGTCATGCTTCAAGAAGTATATTTACCTTATAATCACAGCACAGATGAGACAGGGACAAGCAGAGTCCTGCAACTCACTAGACACCTGCTCTAGTAGAATCTGTCAGCTTTCAGTGAGAGATGCTGTCTGCCCTGCCCATCCCACCCTACCACCACCACCTGGGGTAGAAAAAAAAGAGCAGGTGGACGAGCAACTGAAGAAGACGCCCCAGGTTTGACCTCTGCCCTCACCCCCACTCCCTCCTCACACACACGGTGTATACATAAATGTGTTTACAAAGCATTTATGTGGATCAGCTGTGGTCAAGAATAGCAGGTGTGTACAGGCAAAGAGTAAACAGTCTTCAGCTGCTTTTCGACAAACTGTTTCTAATCTACAGAACAATGAGCTGTCCTGAAGACAGGAATAGTGTACTTGGAATCCTTAGGCAGAACTGCCTCTCTACAAAGAGAATAGAGAGACATCCTAGAAGGGACCTGGAGCTATATCTCATAGGATGAGCACATCAGTGCTCAGGGAAGAAGGCAGAACAAAGCACTTAACCTGAGCAGGAAGGCAGATATGTGGAGACCTTAGTAGCTGGCAGACTTGACAAATGGTGGACAGGTGGACACATGACCTGATTGTGAATGTGGGGGCAATCAGGCTGTGGTTCTCAAAAATGTCTCTGGGAACAAGAAGGGATGAGGGTAGAAGCTGGCACCCAGGATTTCTGGAATGGAGCGTACTAGGGTGAAGCCCTTAGCCAACTTGATGGAGCCTCAGGTCACTGCATTTCTACTTAGCAGTGGACAGTGACAGCAGCAGGAGCCCAACTGGGATCCACTCTGAAAAGAGGCCAGTCCTGCATGCCCAGGTAAATGATGATTATTAACAGTAGTTATTCCTTCTAGACCTAACTGAAGGGTGGAAACTGGCACCCACATCTCAGGAGCCTAAACCTGGTCCCTCAGTGTGGTGTCAGAAGCATCGTAGTGACTTGGTGAGCACTGCCCATCAGGAAATAGTCGTGACCTACAAATACCTTTTTGGGCACTTTGCACATGTTATGTTTTAATTAACTGTTTTACATCCAAGGAAACTGAAGCTTGATGCAATGAAGAAGGCTGCCTAAGGCCAGGTGGCCTGTGAATGGTGAAGCTGGTATTCAGACCCAGGCTCTTGGCTCTAACCTTGTGCTATTAACCTCTGTGCTGCATCAACTCCAAGAGAGAGGACTCAGTGTTGTCAGTGGTGGCATGATGTTTTAGTCGTACTTTCTACATTCATGGGTTCCCCTTCACATCGCCTTTCTACCTTACAGGTATCCTTGGTGCTCTCTGCTCTCCAGGCTGGGAACAAGGGTACCCAAGCATGCATCACGGCTGCTACTGCTGTTTCTGGGATCATTGCCGACCTGGATACCACCATCATGTTTGCAACAGCAGGGACCCTGAATGCAGAGAATGGCGAGACCTTTGCAGATCACAGGTACTGGGGGAGACTTCAGCTGCATGCCTAATTTGGTCATCTCACCTGCCCAGGACTCAGAAATGTAGGTATCCACTTTGATTTCAACAAGATTCTCAGTAGGGGACATGAACCACAGGGTCACAATAAGCTCCTTTGACAAGTTAGAAACAGCCTTTCCCAACCAAGGCTAGCTTTTTGATGTTTGCATACCAGGGAGTTGCCCCTCTGACTGCCCACAGACCCAGCAGGACCAGGAGAGGCAGAAGCAGGCATATTCAGCAGTCACTTCTCAAGGCCTCCGGCCTCCCTGGAGCCTTCATTGAGCATACCTGTGTCAGTGTCTCTGCGTATTTAGGGCTGATGACCCCTAAACTCTCATCACGTGTCCAGCTCCTTTCTTGTCCCTCCAGCCCAAGGGCTGTGATGGAGTAAAGACTCTCTGTGCCCTGCTGTCTGTCCTGGAGCCTGGCTCCATGGGTTCTGATTCCTAGGCACCATATACAAGCTATACACCCTTGCAACCCAGTGTGACTGGGAAATATCTGAAGAGATCGTGGGGCCATAGGAAGAAGCCGCGCTCCCACCCAGCTACAGTGCTGAGCCCTTCTACATACCATTTGAGGCTCCAACCTCACATGCATGAAAGACTCCCCTCCCCTCGAGAGGCAGGTAGATCGCTGGGGCTTCTCCAAAGATCTCCCTCCTTCCCACCTGCAAGTGAACAGGTTTGGTTCTGTTTCTCCTGGCTCTCTGACCTCCCTGCCTTCTCAGGGAGAACATCCTGAAGACGGCCAAGGCTTTGGTGGAAGACACAAAACTGCTCGTGTCGGGGGCTGCATCTACTCCAGACAAGCTGGCCCAGGCAGCTCAGTCTTCTGCAGCTACCATTACCCAGCTTGCCGAGGTGGTCAAGCTGGGAGCTGCCAGCCTGGGCTCCAATGACCCTGAAACCCAGGTATGGATGGGACTTGGGAACTGCCTTTCACTTTTTCCTAGACAGCCTGCATCAGGCTCCCAAGTAGGGTTAGTCAAATGGCCCTTGAAGTAAAAAAATACATGCTCGGTTGGGAAAACTGATAGGAAGCAAGTGACAGAGATGTGGACTGTGGTGACAGTTCAGGAGTCGAGACAAGCCCAAGGATTTGGGAGGAACCTAGAAGGGTAAGTCCACCAGGCCTAGTGAACAATTGGTTGGAGAAAACATTGTGAGGATAAAGGGGAGGGAAGAGGGCCCAGGCTGAGCAGTATGCAGCTTCACGAAGCAAGAGAGAAAGAGCGATCCATGAGGAGAGAGCCATCCAGACCCGAGAGAGGAGGGTGAGTCCCAAGCCTAAGCACGTTGAATTAGAAGTGTGAGACAAGCAGGTAGAACCATTGAAGGCATGAGCCTGCACATGTGTGCAGATGGGACTTGAATGGTTGTCTCTGCTCAGTGTCAGCAGGCACAGGGAGGCAGAAGCATGGGGTAAGAGATGTCAGATTAACCCCGGAGAACTCTGACCTTTAGACAATTGCTGAGAAGAAAAAAAAAAAAAATGCCTAGAAAACTTCAAGAGTGGCCTGAGCTGGTGCAGGGACAGCTAGAGGGTGTGATCTGTAAGAAAGGAATGTTTTTACCTTTAGAGACACTGTGAGTCAAGACAGGTAAATGTCTGTGAACAGGCCAAAGGTGAGCCCAGCTGCTGGCATAGGGCATGGACCACATCTGGCTTACTGCTGGAGAAGCCTGACTCTGAAACAGAGGGAGGAACTGAAAGAGTCGGAGAGTCCAGTGCTCAGGAGGTGGCAATTTTGTTGAAATGACACACCTGAGCCTTAATGCCCTTCCCAGATCACAGTCACTGCAGTTCACGTTTGAAACCAGCACACCATATGCAGCAGCACCTGGCACATGCCAGATACAAAGCAAGCTGATGTTCCAATGGTCTTGACAGACTAGAGTCTCCTCTGCACTTGTCCCAGTAACAGGGCAGTGAATTTGCTAGGTCAGCAATCTAGTCTCCTGGGCTCCAAGCTAGATAACACTTGCCCGTCAGGACTCAGGAGAGCAGTGATGATTAATTAATGAACTAATTAACTGGAGGCCACCAGCCTTGTTCCTGTGTCCTCTGCCCCTTCTGTTCCCACTGTCCTCCAAGACAATGGAGCCCCTTGAGAACCTTTCTCAGTTTTTTAGCCCCCAGCTTTGTTTCCTCCAGCCATACTGGATTCAGAACTGCTGTTTGCACAGTGCTTCTGCAGGAACCTGAGGTGCTGGTCCCACCCTGGGGGGAAGGAAGGAAGGAAAGACTGCAATCCCTGCTGAACTTGGAAGTGCAAACCCCTGTGTTCTGCTCACCTGGCTGATTTTAAAGAGGAGGAGTATGGATCTTTCCAGTGTGTTGAATTGCTGTGGGGTCATTTGTTTGCAAACATTTTATCTTAGCAAGTTGTATTAGGCAGAAAAAGTAGAGAATCACAAAGTAAGTTCTTACAACCACCTGGAATCTTCCATGACTCCTAAGTGTTTCCTTCTGCCTTCCCCTTTCCGAGTGAGAGCACTTAGCATGTGGCTGCCTCCATAGACCTTTAAGTGCCATGCAGTAGTCCTTAACTGTGGGTACCATCATATGCTGGTTACTGACAGCTGACTAACATGCAGAGGGGATATTTTTCTGAGCAGATTTTAAAATTAATTATATTTAAGTAAATAAAAATAAATTTAAAAGGAGACTGCTGTTTTCAAGATATTTAGAAGGTTGATTGGGATTTTTCTTTTGGTTTTAAGGTGTGTGTGTGTGTGTGTGTGTGTGTGTGTGTGTGTGTAGATGTCTCAGCATGTAGGTATGTGAGCATGAGTACAGGAACCCAGGAGGCCAGTGGCATCCAGTCTCCTGGAGCTGAAGTTAGAGATAGTTGTGAGCTACTTGACATGGGTTCTATGAACCAAACTTGGGTCCTCCGGGAGAGCAGCAAGTATTTTTAACTGCTGAGCCATTTCTCCAGCCTCCTGAAGCAGCAACTTCTAATGAGAACTCACTTAAAAAAACACAATCAGGGGCCCAGTGAGATGACTCAGCAGGTGAAACACCTCCTTCACAGGCTTGACAACCTGAATTTGGCCCCCAGAACCCTCATAAAGGTGGGAGAAGAAAACAACTCCATAGTGTTATACTCAACCACACCAATAATAATAAATTACAATTTTTAATAAGTTACTTTTCAAATCTTCTTAGAAAAAAATGTTCCCTCTGCACATCAGTCCTGTCAAGTAACGGGAATGGGGCAGTACTTCCTGGACACTGCCGTTTTAGTAGCATCCCTGGCTTGCTATGCCCCTATCTCTTGCTGCGCCTCTTCACTGTTGTAGGCTCAGGAGAGAGGGTCACACCTTCACAAGCCTTGCTGGCCCCAGCCTGTGAGTACAGGAGGTTGATTGGGGTCCCTATGTCCTGCTGAAGAGATGACACAGCAAAGAGTATGAGGATGGCAAGAGGTTGCAAAGTCACAATTTTTCTGTGTCACTGCTGCCTGTAGTTCTCGAGACTTCAAAAGGTGTTTATGTTTATTATCCCAGTTGTTCCTCACAGCAACTGGATGAGGTAGGAAAGGCTGGCACTGCTAATTCTGCTTGTCAATTAGCCAACCCAAGAGTGTGAAGTTAAAACTGGGGTACTTAGCATCACACTGACCAGAGTCCAAATTCCAAACCCACCACTCTTGGCTCTAGTGCAGTGACCCAGTTCATGTCAGTTCTCCCTTTGGCTGGTGCTTCAGATTCCAACACCAGCATTTGAGATAGCATCATCTCCAGGATGGAGCAGGCCACCTTTGTCTTCATTTTTTCCTCAAGACTCACTGAGTGCCAGCTACGTGCCAGAACATGTTCTGAGGATGAAACCAAGTAAGGCCTGTTCTAACCTCATCAGGTCATGGGAGAAGATAAATCATGGATAAGTGGATACATTAAATGGCACCATGGACTAATACTGCTGTAGTATAAAACAGGGCAATCTGATAGCAGTTTGATATTCAGGAGTTAGACCCATTGCTAGGGTGGTCAAGACAGGTCTCTTGAGACATCAATTCAAGCTGAACCCAGAGGATGCAAAGAGCCAGGTTCCAGGTAGAGGAGAGCAGGAATGAAGCAGAGATGAGGTAAAACTTCACAATAGGAAGAAAGACCCATGTGCCTAAACATGTGGTATGGGGCAGATAATTGTAGGAACGAAAGCTAGAGAGGTGGGCAGAGCGCCATGGAGGCCTTACTGCCCCAGCATGAAGCTGACATTGACATCCAGTGCTTCTCAGTGAGTGATGGTACCTCACTGTGTCTGCTTTAGCAGCCTTCATCCAGTCAGAGGCAGCTTGTTGACAATTCAGAATTGGCAGCTAGGGAGCTGTGTACTCAGATCCCAGCATCAGCATCAGCCTCCATTTTTGTGTCGAGCTGTACAATAGTTCTCAGCCTTAGCAGCATCGGGAGCAGCCTCTCTGTTAGCTTTATCATCATCATTAGGAGCAGCAACAGCAAGATTGGTCTCCCTGAGCTCCAAGGGTGGCTTTCTGGGTAGTGATGTCATGTTGCAGGACATAAAGCTACTGATAAAGAGCTTCCTCCTCCTCCTCATTTGTCCTTACTCCCCGGCAGAAGTCAGTGAAGGCCATCCTCTCTACTCACCAGTCTCCTGCTCTTTCAGGTGGTTCTGATAAATGCCATCAAAGACGTGGCCAAGGCCCTTTCTGATCTCATTGGTGCTACCAAGGGAGCTGCCAGCAAGCCGGCTGATGACCCCTCCATGTACCAGCTCAAAGGAGCTGCCAAGGTAGAGTGGGACTCCAGTTGGGGCTGAGCATGCAGGAATGTGAGTACGATATGCCAGGCTATTGGGAAGATGAACACTTGATCGTCTTTTCGTATGAAGGAAGGAGATATCTTTTGTTCCATTTGCATAAAAGGGTCAGAAACTGCACCTCAGACAGCGTACCCAGTGCTTTTCTCCTGCCCTGCAGGTGATGGTGACCAATGTCACCTCTCTTCTTAAGACTGTGAAGGCAGTGGAAGATGAAGCCACCCGGGGCACAAGGGCACTGGAGGCCACCATCGAGTACATAAAGCAAGAACTCACGGTGAGTACCAGCAGCTGTCACCATCCAACATATGACTGACATAAGAGCTTCTCTGCAGTTTTTAATTAAAGAGCTTTTACTTAGAATTCCCGGACTGTGGAGGCTTACTCATCTGTCTCCTGGTGGCATTTGTAGTTGCTTACCTGTGTGTCAGCGAGTGTGGCTAGGATCTATTGGGACTGTTTGTTTGTAAGGTTTCATGTAGTCTAGGATGGACTCAAACTTTTGTGTAGCCAAGGATAACTTTGAACTTCTGGTCCTCCTGCCGATCCTCCTGCCTTTACCTCCCAAATGCTGAGGTTACAGGTGTATACCACCATGCCTGGTTTTATGAAGGTGCTGAGGACTGAATTCAGGGCTTGATACATGCTAGGCAAACACTCTACCAACTGATTTATATCCCTAGCCAGGACGTAGCCCTACATTCCTGGGACTGATGTGTATCACTTGGGACAGTCCAGGCTTCATTCCATCAAAATGACAGCATGACACAGGAGCATTACAGAAGATTTCTGGCCAAGAGAAAAGTCAGAATGGCAGTTTACACAAGCCTTGTGTTTAGATTAAAGGGACCAGATACATTCTTTCTTCTCATGTTGCTGTTGGCAACAGCCCACATGTGGAATGGCAGTTTGAGGTTCACTGTTAGAGAGAGGCCAGATGTCTTTAGGTGAGACACTTCTTCAGCACCCGGCTCCTTTCTGTTTGAGGCATCTCTCCTTGGAGACATTAGCTCTGTTCTTTCTTCCCCCATTCTAGCCCCAGAGAGTCATGGGCACCAGGAATTGCTACCGTAGAGGTGTTCTGTTTCCTCTGTGCTCAGCACAGTTGCACGTCACCTCATCCTGACACCCACAAACAGAAATACACAGGATTTCTTTGTAATAGTATGATCACAAATGTAGTTTTTCCTCTGCTGCAAGCTGCCCTGCCCCTTTTCAGGATCACCTGTGAAGGCAACATGAGGAGCAACACTAGACATGAGTAACTCCACTGGTATTTGGAAGAGTCTCAGCTTCTTTAGCCCCACCTTGGATGGTGCCAGCTGAGGAGATACAGTTAGTTCATAGGTTTAAAGGGGAAACTAAAGAATACATAAGTAACTCAAAAGGAGGTAATTCCTTAAGGCATGGGTACTCTGGTATGGCTGTATGGGATGGCTGTGTTCCCATCTGAGATCTAGATACAGGTTCAGACAGCTGTATTCCATATGGAATATAGATATGGAATATAGACCACCCTGGGAATTTGCAAATACTTGGTCATTGTGAGTATATCACAGTGGTTTAGAATTCATCCACATTTTTTCAGTTGGAAGGGTGGGTAGATGTTTCAGCAGTTAAAACACTTGCACACAAGCATGAAGACAGGAGTTCTGATCCATAGAAACCCGCATAAATATCAGCACCATGGCCCATCTGCAATTCCAGTCTTGAAAGGAGGATACAGGGCATATCCAGAACAGGCAAATGAGCAAGATGAACCATGTCAGTGAGCTCTGGGTTTGGTTGAGAGACCCTGCCTCAATGAATAAAGTAGAAGAGTGGATGATAATGATTCCTGACAGTAACCTCAGGCCTACCCATACACATGCACATATGTGCCCCCACACAGGCAAAAACATTCATACACACAAACATGTGGGAAAAAATGGAAAAATAAATAAATAAATAAATAAATAAATAAATAAATAGGAATTCCTCAGAGTGTTTTCCACAGACCCTATGCCTTGGAAACCACAGTAGTTTGGAGCATCCTATGTGTAGCAGCCAACATCCCACATAGTACTGAAATCTGGACAAGGGACTTACAGTCCTGAGTCACTTAATTGTCACTGTTGTTTTTAAGGAGCAATGATGTTTGACTGGTTATCACATGGCAAGAATGCTATATGGGTACCCCATCTTACTCAAGGGAGTATCCCATGTCATTAAGTGGTTAATCAGGTCGGAGAACAGGCCAGACCCTCTTCTGCAGGGACAGGTACATATGCAGCATACAGGCACAGAACTAGTCCTTCTTATTAACGAGAAAGGACCAGGTGTGTATGAAGCAGAAGCAGCTTGCCTTGACTAACATGAATTCTTTGCAGCTTCTGTAAATGAGAGAGAGGGGGCATTTAAATTGGAGTCACTGACTTGAACGCCTCTGCATAACCCTGCAGAATTATAGGAGTGATGGTTCACTTTCCCCAAACTCATACCTATGGCAAGTGGGCAGAAGGTCATCCAAAGTGATGTCTTCAAGTTAATCCTACCCAAGAGCCCACATCAGGACTGAGGAAGACACTATATAAATATTGGGTAATGATATTTGCAAATGGATGAGTTAACACTTTAGAAACCTCTTACTTACCGTATTGTTTCCATGAATGTCAAATGCCAGTGTAAGAGCCTTGTCAATGCTAGGATCTTGAGAGCAAGACCCACTCTACTGCCCCCAAATAGGTTTCTAATTTCTTGTCATGTAACAGTCTCTTCCAATTGCTAGCTTGGCTCCCAGACACTAACTGTGGCCTGGGTGGAAAAGAGTAAGTTATTTTTGTCCTTTCCTTTTTGATTTTTTTTTTTTTTTTGCCCCTTCTGTTTCTGACTTCAAGGTGTTCCAGTCAAAAGACATACCTGAGAAGACATCATCACCCGAAGAATCAATAAGAATGACGAAAGGCATCACCATGGCAACAGCCAAAGCCGTAGCAGCTGGCAATTCATGTAGACAGGAGGATGTGATCGCAACTGCCAATCTGAGCAGGAAGGCTGTCTCAGATATGTTGACAGCTTGCAAGGTAAAGACCTGGGCCTTGTTGTGGATGGATGGATAGATAGTTTTCTGTTGAAAATGACTCATTCAGTGTCCTGGAGAAGGAGGTAAGCTGGAATATGAGCAGGAAGCAGCTTCACACCTTACACTTTATGACAGACAAACATTCAGAGAGTGCAGTTATTAGCTGGCATGGTAGCTCACACCTCACCTGTAATCCCAGTGCATGGAGGAGGAAGCAGGAGGCAGGAGGATTGTTGTGAGTTAAATGTCTTTCACATCATGCATCTCAATCCCATTCATCCCCTGTCCCTTCGTATCTGCCCTCTACCCTTCCCCCCCCCAATAAAATAAAATTTAGAAGAAAATAAGAAAAAAAAAGAAAGAAAGACAAATCTCATCCTGGAAGCTGTAGTGTGACATAATGAGTCACAGAGCATCTCCTTTTGTCCATATATCTTTACTTGCAAGTGCTCATTGCAAAGAGTCATCCGTTTGGTTCGAGGCCTGTGGTTTCTGCTACACCATCGATGCTGTGCCCTCACTGGGTCTCCTCTTGGATATATATCCTGTTGTTGCCCTGTGAACTGACATGATTTATAAATCTAATCACGTGTATTAGTTATTAATTGTTAAAAGGAATCCCCTCATACTTGATTCCTATGGCAATTATAAAGTCCATTTTGCCAAGGCCTTGTAAGTGCTTCAGCATTTGTGACATTGAATGGAGCAGGTGCTGGCATAGGTGCCAGCCAGTGACATGCTGCCTTAGCTCTTCAGGATGTCACCCACATGTGTGTGCACAGACTATCAGGGAGCACGGGAAACGGGCTGGGATCACAGAACCAAACAATGACAGTGCAGCTGCAAGCTTTCTTGAACAGTTGAGGTGGTTTCAGAGGATATTCAACCCCATTGTGAGCAGTTGGGAGAGACAAGGCTTGTATGTAGCATGATGCAGTGATGTTTATATCTGACTCTAGACATGGAATCTGTCCCTAAGAGGAAGTAATATTGGAGATAAGGTGATTTTATGAATGTTTAAAATGCCTAGAGCGTTAAAGTCATGATATTTTTTAAGCCAAGTAACTACTTGTAATCCCAGCACTGGGAAGACAGAAGTGGGTCTAGGCATAATGACACATACCTTTAATCCAAACACTCAAGGGGCACAGGCAGGCAGATGGCAGATAGCATCTGAAGAATGATGCCCAAGGTTGTCCTTTGACCTCCACACACACAGTATTTTCTTATTAATTATTTTTCTATGTATGGATGTGTTGCTTGAATGTATATTGTAAACTATATATGTGCCTGGTGCCCACTGAGGTCAGGAGAGGGTGTTGAATCCCTTGGGAGTTAGACAGTGGTGAGCTGCCATGTGCGTACTGGGAATTGAATCCCTGCCCTTTGGAAGAGAGCCAGTGCTCTTAACTGTTGAGCTATCTCTCCAGCTCCAAAACACAGATTTTTTTTTTTTTAAAGCAGAAAATTTTTGAAGTCACACCAAAGAATCTAGTTGCTCTATTGGAGCATGACTTCTGGGGCTGAGTGGGGAGCCAGGCAAATGTAGAGGTGAAGCATATCCCACACTGCCTCATCTTAACAGAATTGCAAGAGTGAACAGTCCCCAGGTGACTTCACCTGTATATGTTTCTGTGTGGTCTGTTTTCATGTGCCTATATTTTTGGGATTTAATTTTGTATTTTTTGTTATAGTTGACATGAGGTGGCTATTGCTGTGTTGCTATAGACATTCTGACTAGTTTGCTCATGACTATAGATATTCTGTTAGCCAGTACTACCTTCCCCTGTGGTCAGATAAGTAGGTTGCCTACCGTGTTTGTTGGCTTTACTGTTTTGTTATATTTTTGAGATAAGGGTCTCATGTATCCCAGGCTGGTCACTACATAGATAAAGGTGACCTTGAATTTACGATCTTCCTGCCTCTGGGCTCTGACTCTAGGCTTCCAGGCATATCCCACCACAGCTGCTTTATGGGGCGCTAGCTCATGCATGTTTTAGGCAGGCCCGCTGCCAACTCACCTACAACTCCACTATAAGAAACATCTTTGTGCTTATTTGATTTATCTGTGCTTTAGATTATTTGCTTAGGAAGACTCCCAGAAGTGGAATTAGGGGATCAAATTGTATAACCTTTTCATTATTGCCAGATTTTTCTCCCGAAGGTTCTGCCAAGTTACAGAGCCACCACGGTTAGCAAGAATGTCCTTCCCCCAACTCTTCTTGGTAGCCTGGTAACCTGCTCCGGTGAGGCCACTGGACAGCAGCACCATGGTCTGTGTCACCCACAGTAATGCACAACTCTGTGACCCACATTGGAGGCTCCGAGAGATGTGGACATAATGAAATATGGGAGCTTTAAGAACATGGATATGGATGCCTCCTCACCCATATCCCAACCCCACCCCCAACCCTGATTTCTGCCTCAGAGGTTTGTCAGTCCTCAGAGGTTTGTTCGTCTAACATGGCTCCTCAGTGACAGCTGCTCACCAAGGGAGGGTACACAGGTGTTACCACCCACACTGCTCATCTCAGAGAGAGAGGATGGATTGCAAAACCAAGCTGGTCAGTTCCCCATAAGCCTTGAGCTTTTCTCTTATTATATGGCTTGGGAGTCTGTGTCCCTATAGATTTAACCCAAGGCCCTGTGTGTGGCACATGAGTACTCTCTGCCACCAAGCTGTAGCCCCAACCCTCCTTTTACTTTTTATTTTGAATCAGAAACTCACTCAGTTGCCCAGGCTGCAGCCTTGAACTCACTCTGTAGCCCAGGCAGCCCTTAAACTTGGGATCCTCAGCTTCCGCAAGTGGCTGAGATTACAGGCCTGCCACACAGAGACTTGTCTCTGCCATGTTCTGTGCCTTTGTCATGACTAACGGTTTGTAGGGGGTGTCGTTTTTTTTTTTATACATTTCTGTAAACCTCCCAAGTTCTTTGCAGAGTAAAAACTGTGGAAGAATAATTAAGGGGATGTGGTTTCCTTCTGAAGCAAATAAAAGATAGTGTCCCACACTTGCACTTTTCCTTGCTTATCAATTCTGGGTGCATTTTTATCTGGCAGCCCTGCAAGTCAGAATGCCGTCTGAAATGATTTGTCATGGATGACTGGAGGTGGCAGGTCACCGTACAAGGAAAAGCCTGAGACACTGTTATCCCGAGAGCTCTGGCTTGCTTATCTCTGCATTTGTATAACGTGAGATGAGTTATTTACAGTGCCTGAGGGTTCTAGAGAGCTGCTAGCTGAAGGAACCTAATGGCTCTGGTCACAGAGCCTGCCCTGTGACTATAACTTGGGAGGTTGAGTGGGAACATGGGCTTCATTAGTCTGGGGACATAGAGATGCCATTACAGTGCCCTTACCACTACTGAGAGGAAGCCAGGCAGAGCTGGTCTGTACTCTGCTGCTGGAAGCCTTAACTATGAGTCTTCCTGGATGTTTTAGTGCATGGAAAAGGGGGGGGGGGCGAGAAAGGGTAGAAGGCCCCAGACTAGGTGTTTCTGTCATGTGTCCCCAGGGAGCCAGCCTATAGACTGTCAGAGGACCCGCTGCAGAGGCATAAGAATGGAAGGGGAGGAATTTCTGTCCCACCTAGAGAATGGGGGTGAAGGTCTTCTGCCTCAGAGACCAGGGTGCCCAGCTCTGAGGGGTTGAGAACTCACACGCAGCTCTTCTTAGTTTAAGATGTCAACATTCTTTTCTCTCTTCCCTGCCACCTCTCTCAATCTGTCTCCAGCAAGCATCCTTCTACCCTGATGTCAGTGAAGAGGTACGAACCAGAGCCTTGCGGTATGGCACAGAATGTACCCTGGGCTACTTGGACCTTCTGGAACATGTCTTGGTGGTAAGGAGGGGTGTGGGCATGGTGGGGCAGAGCTGTGTATCCTTGTGCCTCCCTGGATGACATAGGGTACACCCGCCTCCTTCCAGCATCCTGCCAGCATCTCTCATGAGGTTAGGACTATGCTGAGCAGACAGGTCTGATCCAACACACTGGACAGAAAGTGAAGCTTTCATGAAGACTCAGTAGGAGTCCAAAAGATCTGATTTCACTCTGGCACCAAAGAAGCAGCAGAACAGGAATGCCTAGGTTAAGGTGGTGGAAGAAAAGGAGGAGCAGTGGCAAAGGAGTGGTGATAAGTTGAAGGTCAGAGCCAATCTTGAAAAGCATTGAAAGATCTTTGAGCCTGGGGAAATAGCTCAGTTGAAGTGCTTACCAGGCAAACATGAGAGGCCTGAATTTGATCCTCAGCACTCACAAATAACAATAATAGTAAAAAAAAAAAAAATGAGCGAGGCAACTCATACCTATAATCCCAAGTTCTGGGAGTAGAGGTGAGGTAAAGATAGAAGGATACCAGAGTCTAGCAAATCAGCAAGTTCCATGTTGAGTCAGAGACCCCCATCTCAATAAACAAGGGGAAAAGCAGTTGAAAGAGATGTCTGATGTTGACCTCTAGCCTTATACACACATGTACATACACCTATGTACAAACACACATTCACACATACACATAATGGGAGGTCTTAATGCAGAGACCCAAATGCATTCTAAAAATCAGAGAACACCAGCCCCCATGAACAGCTAAAGAGGACCATTGCTAGTGGCCTGCTAGCCTTCGGTAGCTTCCTGCCATCCTTTAATGAATGGCATGGGTCACATCAAGAGTGCCTGGCTTGCTGTACCCACTGTGGAGCTAGGATTAGAAGGCAAAAACAGAAGATTCTGGGCAGCATATGTCGTGGTTATGGTTAGCACATAGGTTTCTGTAAACCTTGTTTTCTAGCCATGTTTTGAACCTTGTATGAGCTGCAGCAGTGCCCAGGAGAGTTTGTTCAAGAACCATGGAAAACATAAGGAAATAGATGACATGTCCCCTCCCATCTCTGCTCCACTCTTCCCAAACCTAAAAATAAAAATGATTCCCAGGCCACTTTGAGTTTGCAATTCTTGTCTCTAGAAGTCAACTGTGAAGCATTGGGTTTCCTTGTTTTTCTTTGTATAGCTACATGAACTGACTGACCAAATGAATAACCAGAAACCCATAGAAGTCTTTCCCTTGGTTAAGGTCACCCCAAAGTTCAGCAACAGACTGAGAATATGTTCCCAGCTCTGCCTTCATTTTAAATTATTTTCTGGCATTAACTATTTCAGGTCTCCTGAGGAGTCATTATGTTCAGCCAGAGAACTGCAATCATTGCTAAAGTATTGTTTGTTATTACTGGGATTTTGGGTTTTTTGTTTTGTTTTGTTTTGTTTTGGAAAAAAAATAGTCTGGGAAGTGGTAGCACATGCCTTTAATCCCAGCACTCAAGAAGTAGAGACAGGCAGCTCTGAGTTGAGACCAGCCTGGTCTACATAGTGAGTTCCAAGAGAGCCAGGGCTACACAGAGAAACTCTGTCTCGGAGTGGGCAGGGGAAGAATCTGTGGTTTTGAACCTCGGGCTTTCAAAATCTGAACTCCAGTGAGTGGAAGCTACTGTGAACTACATGAGCCAAACAAAGAACACCTTAAGCAAAGGTAGGAGCCTCTGTAGCCAAACTAAATGTGCCAGAATACAGTGAAAAGACTTGGTCCATGAGTATGCCTCTGGGATACTCGGGGTCAAAGGAATAAAGCCAGAAAGCTTTATGGGACTGTGTACCATCCTCCATTATCCTTGGGGTATATGTTCTGTACCCCACCTATTATTGTACCAAACTCTATGCTTTTGCCTGTGCATATTAGATATGATAGTTTAATTTTAAGTCAGAAACAGTAGGAAATTGCTAGCAATCACTAGTAGAAAAATGAACAATTATAGCAGTATACTATAATAAAAGATATATGAAGGACCAACAAGATGGCTCAGTGGGAAAAGGTGCTTGCTACATACTCCTGGAGACATGAGTTTGATGTAAGCCATGTAAAAGTGGAAGGTGAGAACTGACTCCACAAAGGTTCCTCTAATGGTCAGAGGCACACACCCTGCCACGTGCATTCTCATGCAGGCAAGCACGAACACACGCATACTTACACACACACCTCTGCCTGATGGGAGGTAAGAGATCCAGAGTCCCTGAAAACATTAGAGAATGTCTAGGAAGCTCCCTGGGCTACACACCCTGGCACCCCGCTTAAGGGCTGTCTAGGTGCTGTGTCCAATTCCAACCATAGGATGATCAGAGGAGAGAAGTTCACATTACACACGGTCAGTGTTTCAACACAGACTCTTCTTTCCTGTGGAGTTGAGACCCAGTCTTCCATGTTGCAGACCTATCTAAATGGCTGGTGTATCTGTGGGTGGTGTGTCATGGTTCTTTTCATTACTCTTTACATCTGTGGTCCTTGTCATCTGTAATTACTGTGGACATAGGAATGTGTTGTTCCTCTGAGACTCTTCAGGGAACTGGCTGGGGCCAGAGTGAGACCATTAACAGAAGAACCAGATCAGTGGCATAAAGCTAATATAAAACGAGAAGAACTCAGCCCATTTTTGTGTGGGGAGCTGGAGAGATGGCTCAGTGATTAAGAGTGCTTGCTGTTCTTACAGAGGACAGGAGTTTGATTCTTGGCTGGGCCCACAACTGCCTATACTCCAGCCTCAGGGGATCTGATGACGTCTTCTCTGGCAGGCACCACATGCACACCACACACATTAACACAGAGACCCAAACACATACATGTAAATAAATAAGAATTTTTGTGTGCCTTAAAGGTATATGTGTATACACACACACAATCAAGGAAACAAGCACACGGAATGACTCTCGAACTGTTTAAGAAGAGATACCAAATCGCAGGGTGGTGGTGCAGAGGCAGGCAGATCTCTGTGAGTTCAAGGCCAGCCTGGTCTACAGAGCAAGTTCCAGGACAGACTCCAAAGCTACACAGAGAAGCCCTGTCTGGAAAAAAAACAAACAAAAAAATTGAGAACCTCTGTCTAGAGAACCCCACTTCTGCATTTTTCTAAGAATCTATTCAACTCTCAACCTACATAGCTCTGGTTTAAGCAGAGCCACTGTAGCTGCTCCGGGAAGTTCCTCCGTGCTGGTAGGAGTGCATTGGCCTCCTGCACTTGTTGTGTATTGCTTCATCCTGGAGGATTTGCTCTACAGGGCAAGATGTAGGCACCAGCTTCCCAGTGCCATGCTGTTGTAACCCAACATCTTAGACAGAGTTAACTTTCACTTCCCTGGCAGAACTTTAATCTGGATCTGTATCCTGATATGAGAAATTGTATTGACTTAGTCACAAAATTAAAAAATAGAACAACTCTCTTCTTTGCTGTCTAGAGCTAAGATACCTTAATTCAGCACTGCTGTCTGCCTTAAAGGGCCAGCTGTTCCCAGAAGTGGCACTTTCTGTCTGCTTTGAGGGCTCTTCTCTCAGCCATAGACTTCTTCAGTCATTGCAGTTTGATGATTCAAGTGCTTCAAGTTCCCGCACCCATAACTCCCTCAGCTTTAATGAGACACAAGTAATACAGAAAAAGAAGAAAAAGTAGCTCATATTTCTGGGCTTATGAAAGCACTGCCATAATTGAAATAATGAATATACTTCTTTCCTTCAGATATTCCAAGCAGCCGATGACCCACTTTTCATCATTACAGATTTGTTTGCATTTTCTACACTTTGGCCAAAACTTGTACAAAAATCTCAAAGAACTAATAATTTGTTTTTTTATTAAAAGGGTGCTTAAACATGGCAGGGCAGTAGACTCACATTCTATTTATATTGGCATATAGATATATGTCATATGAGTCTTATTGTATAGCTCAGGCTGGCCTGGCACGTGCTATCCTCCTATGTCAGCCTCCCAAGTGCTCGGGTTACAGGCATGTGTCACCATGGCTTCTCTGTGTGATTTAATTTACATCAACTATCCTTTTTCTTTTGAGAATTCCACAGATGGATGTAATGTGTTTGGGTCAAGTCCACCCCCAGCTCCACCCCTCCAGGTCCTTCTTACTTCCCCTACTGTTATTTGCTCCCAATTTAATGTGTTTTTTTTTTTTTTCTTTAATGGAAAACCAACAAACAAAAACCTGTCAGTATAGGGACATCTACTGGAACATGGGTATCATCCCTGAAAACTGACAGTCATCAGTTGCCATAGTGCCTCAGTTAGGGCAGGATTTTATAACCCCCCTCCCCACCATGATTGACTGGCTTGATCTTTCATGTGTCTTGCATACCATCACAGCCACTGTGACTCTACTGCCCTGTCACATTTAAATATCTTGAGGATTATATACATTGAGTTTTGGTCAAACTCAATCCCTTGTTGAGTTTCCCCCAAATCCACCACCTTCCCTACCCGCTCAAATTTGTGTCCTCTTTTTCTCACCTAGTCAGTCCAAATTTAAGCATCTTTTTTCTGCCTGTTTGCCTTCTATACATCTACTTTGCTGAAATATGGGTTGAGATCTTCTCCCTTTTGGTGGATTTTTCTTACTCAGATTTCAGAGTTCTGTGTGTTTTCTTGAAGCACAGCGTCTGTCAGATATATGTTCCATAGCTTCTCCAGGAAGTGGCTTGTCTTTTCATTCTCACAGACTTTAGATGCAGCAAAGGAGATAAATGGGTATTACGTGAAAGAAAATGCCCTCATGATGAAGTTCTGGGTAAACTGACCCTGAGACTTGGATAAATATGAAAATAAAAGCACATCTTTCGCATCTCAGAGAGTAAGCCTTGAGGGTAGCACTTTGGGAATTACATTTCACTTCCTGTTACCCTCTCATTTTGAAAACCATGCTCACTCTCTGTCTTACACAGTCCCAATGTACCATGGTTCCATCCCTAGTACCACACACACACACACTAAACAAACCTGCTAAGACATAATTTACATACAACAAAATTCATCTATTTACAGTACATAATTAATTGGGTTTTGCTGTGCTTACATGACTCTGCTATAATTTGAGTTTAGAATATTTTCATCATTCATAATACTCCTGCTTTCCATTGCCAGTGTCTAGAAGTGTGATTAATGTTGACTTTATGCCCTGTCTTCCTAGTTATGGAAGGGTTTTGTTTTTGTTATTGTTTTACATATATGCCTTAGAGATCTATGTATGTATGTATGTATGTATGTATGTATGTATGTATGTATGTGCACTGTTTGTATGCAATGCCTGTGGAGGCCACAAGAGAACATTTGATCCCTCTGGAAATGGAGTTACAGTCTGTTTTTTGAGCCACTATGTGGATGCTGGGACACAAATCCAGGTCTTCTGGAAGAGCAATAAACACTCTTAACCACTGAGCCACCTCTCTAACCCCCTTACCACATTCTTTATCTGAGTGGGAAAACAGTCTTTCACTACTAAGTCTGAATAACCCTACCTTACTTTTAACTCACATTCACGGCCTTTTGCCCACAACAGAGTAATAACAATGTCTGTGGATTAGTTAGCAGGTCACAGCCTGAGCCATAACATTATTTAACTAGTGGTCTTAGAGTGTTATTTTAGACAAAATGGTACTTAAAAACCAGTTGGGAATTTTTTCTTTTAAACCTGATGCTGAGATTGCACCTAAGTAATGCTATCGGGGTCCTTTATATGATTAATTTATATAATCTCACTGCAAATGTGTAGGTAAAGGACTGTTTCACTCATTTAATAGATAAATTAACTGAGGCAGGCTGGAGAGATGGCTCAGAGGTTAAGAGCACCGACTGCTCTTCCAGAGCTCCTGAGTTCAATTCCCAGCAACCACATGGTGGCTCACAGCCATCTGTTATGAGATCTGGTGCCCTCTTCTGGTGTGCAGATATACATGGAAGCCGAATGTTGTATACATAATAAATAAGTAAAATCTTTTTAAAAAATTAACTGAGGCAAGACTTACAGAACTTGGGCTCCAAGTTACACAAGTGCATCAATTCCAGAAGATACACTTGGTTAGCAAAAGATACCTCTTCCCTCAACCTTCCCAGAACTCTAGTGATTTTCTAGAAATGTTCAAGGAAGCTGTCGTATTAGGATTTGTTTTTCATTCATTTATTCATTTTTTCCACATATGTGGGTATGTGTATTAATGTGTATGTTTCTACTACCATTGTTTAGTTCCTCTCAAGTTCAAGATGCCTTAGTACTTTTATTAGAAATCTCTTGATTAACTGTATATGTAAATCTAGTTACAGGCTATTCAGCATTGTCCTGGTGTCTATAAACTGCTACTGCATCATTTTGACTACAACCTTTTAGGTCTGAAAAAGAATGAGAATAATAGAGCAAATGGAATCAGAGAGCATTGTTTAGTAAATGTAAAACAAGTTTAAAAGATGACCAGAGGAACTGGAGAGATGGCCAGTGTTAAGAGTGCATACTGCTCTTGCAGAGGATCTGAAATCAGTTCCCAGCATCCACATTGGGCAGCTCACAACTGCTTATAACTCCAGCTCCACCAGGAGATCTAATGCCCTCTTCTGGTCTCCATTGGTACCTGCACTTACATTACCCCTTCTCACACATACACATAGATACATAATTTTTTTAAATTAATTACCAGAGGAAAGAAGGTGAGGAGAGGTGTGTATGAAATAATACTCAAAATGATTGGCTCATCAGTGATATATATAATGTGATGTCATTTGTATACTGGCATGTTTGGGGCTGGTTACAATGTAACCCATAAACTCCTCCAACCTATTTTTTTTTTTTAACTACATTTGTTTTAGGAACATATTCAGAGGAGTTAGGCCTAAGGTCCCAGAACCGTCTCTCCCATACTTCTAAGAAATACCATGTTACCTGACCAGATTTTTTTAAAGGGTGTAGGACACCAAGAACAGAATTGACATTAAATGAATGTCTGTTGCATTCTGGGCCTTGGGTGAGCTGGTTATCATGTGTTTTCAATTTGGCCTGTGTGTCAGTCCTCAGACACAGGCATTGTCTCAGCTTTACAGAGCAGAGACAAGGTTCTGATGGTTTCTGTAAGTCACACCAGTAACCAGGGAGGCCTGATCTGAATACAGACCTGTCCAACTCCAAAGCCCACACTTGCTCCCCAGCTCTGAGGCACCATGATTGTCCACAGATGGCTTCGGGTGTCTTTTCCTAATCATCTTAAAGTGTCTGAAGGTTTTCCACTGGGGAACATAGGGAAGAGAAGTATCAAACTGTTAGAAGAGAATTGCAAAATGAGGAAGGGCCAGCCAGGATGATACGCCTCAGAGTTTAAATCCTGGGGAAGATGGTAAGGAACCTTTGCTTCATTTCTCAGTTCTATTTTTGAAGGAATTTAAGAAGAGATCATCTGGCTTCACAGTGTATTGCTGGTTGCCAGTTCTGGTACCTATTTATTTATTTATTTATTTATTTATTTATTTATTTTGGTTTTTCGATATTTATTTATTTATTTATTTATTTATTTATTTATTTATTTATTTATTTATTTATTTATTTATTTATTTATTTATTTATTTATTTATTTATTTATTTTTTTATTTATTTTGGAGTGCTGGGATTAAAGGTGTACGCCACCAACA